GAGATTTTCTTGGATAAAAGAGTACCAGAACAACTGAAACAGCTGCTCATTTTGTGTTAGTTGTAGTGGGCTCCATGTTTTAGAGTTTGATGGGTAATGCATTGATTAATGATGCGTGCTTTCAGGATTGTCTCACTGTCTCGTAAGAGGGTAGCATTCCCCTCCAAGTTATCCATGGTCCTAGAGCGATTCCCCAACTCACCTGGCTTGGTTTCACAAACTTTCCAGTGGCTGTTGGGGCCACTCTTTTGAAAGGCTTTATGTTGCAGTTTATTTCCATATCTCAGTTAGAAAAATCAAGAGCTGTTTGGGGTGTGGACTTTGCATGTTTCCCAGTATATCACCCCCTACGCCTCACCCTGATTGCTGTAGTTGTTCATTAGTCCAAGTGCCATTTTCCATCTGTTTGACTGGAAATCAGCCGACACCAGTTTTACAGCCTTTCTAAACAGCTGTCCTAGTGTGTCTGAAAGTCCATCTTAATTTTATATCTTACAGTAAGCCCCAGCCCTGTAACTCACAGCCGTAGGTCATCTTTGATATACCATATGATAAGGAATTCATTAAAGCTTAATTGTAATTGTGTACAGGTGGTCTCACAAGTCACATTGTCACAGTCATAGGGATGGATTGTGTAAATTTTGTTGTAACATTTACCATCCACTGTGTGGGTGTTAGTATGATAGTAGACTTAAAAACCTGGCTGGAAGCTGTTCCTCCTTTGGTGAGGATTCCTATAACTGCTTGAGGGTAGTTCAAATTGGCAGATGGATTTGCAATTTCTTTTGCATACAACACCCCCAAAGTCAAGTTGCCTGCTTTTCACAAAGAACTGATTAGGTTGCATTTTGTATTTCATATCTTTAGGGGATTTGATAGAGTCATAAATAGTTGTGCCCAGGGTCCACTGCATGGTGTTTTCAGCTACCTGAATAGTTTTAGTACAATTAACATTCAGTACAAAGAATCATAGAATCATTCAGGTTGGAAAACACTTCCAAGATCATCTAGTCCAACCGTTAACCTACTACTGAACACGTCCACCACTGAACCATGCTATTAAGCACCACATCTACACATTCCTTGAAGACCCCCAGGGATGGTGACAAAACCACTCCCCTGGGTAGCCCATTCCAATGCCACACAACCCTTTCAGTAAAGAAATTTATCCTAATATCTGACCTAAAGCTTCCCTGGCACAGATAACCATAATTCTGTTCTGAATTCAGTACAAAAATCCATTATATTTGCTGATATCACTACTGGAGACTTCTATCTTCATCTGCTTCTACAAAAGAGAGTTCCTAACAATGAGACACTTCCTAAATTTCTGCATTTTTCCTATATTTTCTGAGCATGTAAACTCCCATGGGGTCTAAACGAGGCATATTTTTTTCAGGACATACTTTGTTTCTGCCTATCTCTATGTGCTAGGTAGTGATCAGTCAAAGCTTAAGGTTCTTGTAGTTATCTGCCTCTGCGTGCAATAGTAACAGGTAGGTATAGCCTCACCTTTCAGATTGCTCAGTCTTTGAGTCTTACTACCTATTGTGATAAAGTTGCAGAATTGCTTCTCTCAGTGAAATGTTAATACCACCTCACAGAAATCCATGGTTCATAGTAGTTGTTTCCTTCTGTTAAACAATGTGTTAACAAGAGAACTAGATCCAGGCTGTCTTCCTACAGGTTGTTTTAGGAATTTTTCACCTGCCTTTGACATTTGAATGCTTTGGTACCATTTTCTTTAATGACTGATTTTGTATACATGTATAATCAATTAGAAGCCTGCTGATTCATTATTGAAACCGTGCCCTATTTGAAGGCTCCAGGGATTATGTTGGATATACACATTAGCAATTTAGGCATGATCTCTTAACTCTTAAATGCAAAGAAAGGGTTGAAAAATGCAGAGAAAAGGGTTGTTAGAACTGAGAGAACTGTATTCCAAAATCATGTAATTTTCATTTCCCAGGACAAGTAGCAGTTCTGAGAACAAAAATGTCTCACCTATTCTAAGTTACTGACGGTGTACATAGGTTTTTCTAATTAACTCCTTTTTGTACTGCTAATTATAGAAATGAAGGAAATGTTTGATTTGCAGGCTGAGACTGACATTTTATTCAGCCAAGGCCACTATCCAAGCAAAATATACTATATACATCTCAAAAAGGAAAAAAAAAAAAAAAAAAAGAAACTTTTCAGTCTTTCACAGTAAAGTTCTCATTCTCTAGTAAAGAAAGACTAATGCATCTTAAGAAACTGAAAAATCTGGATGAAATTTCTTCCCCTGAAGGAGAAAAATAAAAATAATAAAAAAGTAAAAGAAAAACATTGTATATGTTAGTACTCTGAATCTTACTTCAGTTCTTACTATAGCAGCTGTTCACCCCTTATGATTCTGTGTTTTCCTTGTTCTTAAATAAAGACAAATTCAAATCTCTCTCTCTCTTTTTTTTTTTTTTTACTGGAAACATTTTGTAGTGAAAGCAAGAAAGAAAATTTTTAAAAGGAAAAATATCAAAAAAAAAAAGGTGGTGGGGGGGAGGCCTGTCACCTGTCACCTATTTGGATCTGCCTCTGGATAGAAAAGTCTACTCCTCATGTTAAATGTAAATCAAAGTGGTGCTTCAGGTGCTAAGGACTAAATTTTCCTCTCAGTTACATATGTTTTTGTCTTTGTAACATTTCTTACCATTGTAAAAGTTCAAGTGCTGTCTGTGTGTCTAACTCAGACACTTCTCATCATCTGCAAATGCTTCTTAAGATGCAAAGAGACTAAGTATTATGGTTCTGAAAAAAAACAAACAAACAAACCACAGTTCTTGAAAAACAGAAAAGATCATTAATAAACATTTTTAAAGCACTAAATCTCTTATGTTATTACCTTTTGTTCCACATAAGGTATACGGATTGCTCCATAGTAGATTTTTTCAGAGATGGTGTTTTATTTGTTGGAAGAGATGCTCAGTGACTATTTTGGCTATTTATTGTTTACAGTTGCAGTGGTAAAAATATGAAATTAAATGCAGTTGAATTGAATTCACTTACTATTCTTCTCATAATACATTAAAGGAGGAAAAACTTTTGCTTTATGGTGGCTGTGGGAACTCATTCTATTTTAAATCTAAGCTTGCTTTTTAGGTTAAGCAGTGAATTTAGTAGATGTACTAAACAGTGCCCCCACAAGTATGCAACTCTGCTAATACCAATTGAATTGGCAGTAAATATATATATTGAAAATGATGAAGAGGATGCATATTGCTACATTTATAAAAGCAGCACAGTATTTAATAGGAAATGATTGTTTTTAAATGAGTGCCGTAACAAGCGGAAAGAAATCAAAAAAGAAAAGATGTGCAATCCAAAAATCCCATCTGTCAAATCCTGTGCAAATATGATAGCAGGAAAGTTATGATAGATCATAAAATAATAAAAGATCGCTTGCCAAATTTTAGGCCTTAGTTCTGCTGTGTTTTGTGCTTGGTCTTTATCTTGAAAATCACAGAACCTCAGAATGGCTTTGGTTGGAAGAGACCCTAAAGACCATCTAGTTCCAACCCCCCTGCCATGGGCAGGGACACTTCCCACCAGACCAGGCTTCTCAAGGCCCAATTCCAGCACTTCCAGGTTCTCCTCCACAGGGCTCCTCTCTATCCATTCATTGTCCAGCCGGTATTTTTGCTTGGGATTGCCCTAGCCCAGGTGCAGGACCTTTCACGTGGCCTTGATGAACTCCAAAGGTTGGCACAGGCCCACCTCTCAGGCCTGCCATGGTTCCTCTGGGTGGCATCCCTTCCCTCCAGCAGGTTGATTACACTGCTCAGCTAGGGTGAGTGGCTATTTAAATCCCAGAGGAACAAGATTCCAGAGGTTAGGTAAAGAGGCTGTATGTGTCTGTAGATTTTGCTGAATCATTGCCAGCAAACAAGCAGTTCATAGGACTATACTTTTTCGCACATTTATCTGTCAGAGAGACTGAATCACATGAAAGATCAGTATGGTGAAAATGTTGAACAGGAACAGCTGATTTCTTCTTTATCTCAAGTTGTAAAGAGTACTTCCTATATGATCATGGAACGGCTTGGGCTGGAAGGGACCTTAAACTTTGTCTAGTTCCAACCCCCTGCTGCAGGCAGGGACACCTCCCACCGGACCAGGTTGCTCAAAGCCACATCAAGCCTGGCCTTGAACCTCTCCAGGGATGGGGCATCCACAGCTTCTCTGGGCAACCTGTTCCAGTTCCTCACCACCCTCTGAGTGAAGAATTTCCTCTTAACCTTTAATCTAAATCTAAATCTCTTTTAGTTTAAAGCTATTGATGCTCGTCACGGCTCTGGTTGTGATATTTAATTGCTCTATGGACACTGTTCCTTTTCAGGAAAATACTAATTGATGGAAAGTAGCTAAAAGATAAAAGAAAGGACTGATAGCACAGTTCCTGTTACTAATTAGATTAAATGCATTTATTTGAGTAATATCAAACTGACCTCATCGATAAAATAGGTATTAGCAAACCAAAATAATAATGTTGAAGGTTATTATGGGAATTCTTCTTGAAGAAACCTGAGAGGTAGAGAGAATTAGAAATAGTTCAGATGAAGTATCAAATGCTTCTCCCAAATCCCCACAAATGACAGGAAGAGGGGAAAAAAAACAAACAAAAAAAAGTGCAGCCCTTAAAATAATTAAAGAAATTGAATGAATAGAGTTACTGAGCTTAAGCTGAAAATTAGAAGCTTTTAAAAAGATCAGTACAATTATCTTGCTTTGGGTTCTGTGATAGTGGATACTGTTGACTCCTATCTCTAAAAAGATTATTGAACACTTCATAGGTTTGGATTATTTATGACTAAGCTATTAATTTTATATTAGGTCAAACAAATGCACGTTTGCAGATTTCTTGTCATTAATGTGATTTTTTTTTTCTGTCAATATTCCATAAGGAAATATGAAAGACAACATCTGGCTACTTTTACTAAATTAAATGTTTTCCTTTTTAGTTATTCAGATATTCTGATTGAAAGGGAGGTACTGATGCAGAAGTACATTCATCTTGTGCAAATTGTAGAGACTGAGAAAATTGCAGCCAATCAACTTCGACATCAGCTTGAAGATCAAGACACAGAAATTGAAAGACTTAAATCTGAGGTATGTGACAGAATCATCAAACAACCAATCAATTGTAATGTTTTGCTGTGTCCATTATAATCATTTCTAATATTTCTGTGATATTTGCAAAAATAACCGTACCCAGTAAGGTCTACATGTAATAGTCCTATGAACCCTTGGCTAGATGTTTTTCTTAGAAATATTACAGGCAGAAAATCTGATTGGATTACTACATTGTCAGAGAATTTAAGATGACATGTTGCTTTGCAATATTGATCCCACTGATGGTATTATTTCCCACCTGTCTTCACACGTGGTATTTGGTCCTCTAAACCCTTTCTTTGGTTGTGATATTATTGTGGACCAGTCCAAGCTACTCTGTTTCAGTGAATGTTAAAAGTTTTGTTGCAGTTCTGAGCTGAGAAGGTCTGAAAGACACACTTCATTTTGAGAGGAGAAGCATATCTCTTTTGGTCCTTCTGTCATCTAGATCAAAAGCCTTGTTTGTTTTCTGAGAATTGTGTTTATATCCCTGTGACCAAAAATGTGCTTGTCATTCCATGCGGCTTTAACAGTCTTTAGGAAGAGCTTTTGAAGAAGGCAAAGAGATTTTTCTATTAGTTCTGTAGCAAATAATTTAATTGCATTGAAAAATCATTTAATGAATGGTTGTTTTTGTCAGATTATAGCTCTCAATAAAACAAAAGAAAGAATGCGACCTTATCAAGGCAACCAGGAAGATGAGGATCCAGATATTAAAAAAATTAAAAAGGTAAATATGCAATATTCTGTGTTTGAAAGGAGAAAAATGGAATGTGGGAGGTTGCTTGTGTATTTTAGTCTGTCTAGTTTTGCATTCAGGTACTGTTTGATTAAGTACGCTCAACTGTCCAGATGTCTTTTGACCTGATCCTACTCAAACCACATAAATTATATCAACTTAATACATTTCAGGGGCTATTTATCCCTGAGAGTCTTTGTTACTTCAATATTTGTTTTTACTTTGTTTATATTCAGTTGATTAGAGAAGGTTGCACTTTGCATTTGACTGCTTATGAAGGGTGAAATTCAGTCATTGGCTATGTCCTGCGGGAATCAAGAATGTAGTAACTTTATACTACTTTCTTATAAAAATGCTTATAAAGATATAAAAGAATAGCTTAAATTGCATAATTTCTTTTCTGCTGTATGGACTTAGTTTCACTACCCGTTTCTGGGTCACATAGTCTAAGTCAGGTATTGAGTTGGTATGAATTTTCCTTTCCATACAGATTTAACATTGTAATAGAGCCAGAAATACCTCTTTTAGTACAAGGAGAGTTCTGATTCTGATTCACTGCATTCTATACCTTGATTGTTTTGACAGTTGCCCCTCCCCCCTCCTTTTTTTTTTTTTTTTTTTAAGTTATTTATTCAGAGTAAACTGTTACCAGTGAAATTTTCCATTTCTCTTTCAAAATGAATGATCATCACATCAAGGTCAAGGAAAAGACATATTGAAGTTTTCTGTGACCAGAAGTAGACCTTTTATGTAGTCTTTTGTCCACTTGTAACTTCAATGGGTGTTATACCTAAGTAGATTTTTCTGTGACATATTATTTTCTGTGACCTCTTAAAAATGGCAAATATCTGACTTTTCTTTATAATGGTATCGCTGGCCTAGGTGTCTGATATTAAACAGCATATGTAGCTTTAAATGCAAACATTAAGTAGTATCTATGCAAAACAAAAATCAAACAGCCTAACAGCTGTTTCAGAATTGTGTCAATGCTGATACAAAATCTATTTTGAAATGCGTTCCATGAAAACCATGAAAACAATATGATTGAGGATATAAGAAAGTGAGAAATATGTAAGGGGAAGTAAAAGGAGTTAAAATAATCTGGGCAGATAACCTGGATAGTTGTGCTGACAGGAAGAGTATATGAAAAGGTACAACCTTTGAGCCTGTGGTAAAAGTTACTTTGATATATATATGGTTGGGAAACAAATATTACCAACATTATCAAACGCTTGTGTGGCTTCTATTATTAAATAGATATCTAAAAAATATAATTCAGGAACAATTATGGATCAGTAATGTTTTAGAGGGCAACATATTTACTTTTTTGACAAGCATTTCACACATACAGTTATTTCTACAGTGAAAAACTTATTTTAAGTAATTTAATTCTTCTTTTCTACTTGGTGTTTTTTTAGGTTCAGAGCTTTATGCGGGGCTGGCTATGCAGAAGAAAATGGAAGACTATTGTCCAAGATTATATTTGTTCTCCTCATGCAGAAAGTATGAGAAAAAGGAATCAGATTGTTTTTAACATGGTTGAGGCTGAATCTGAATATGTGCATCAACTTTATGTTCTTGTGAACTGTTTTCTGAGGCCCTTAAGAATGGCTGCAAGTTCAAAGAAGCCACCTATCAGTCACGATGACGTCAGTAGTATTTTCCTCAACAGGTAAGTGTTTTTTTTTTTAAGTTGCTTTTAGGGATTTGCCTGACCACTTCTTCCCATTCTGCTTGAATTTTCAGTAGTGAAGTTTGGCATTTTGTTGTTGTTGCTGTTCTGATGTAAGTAATGTGACTGAGGAGGACCACATTTCCTTAGGGTAAAAGGAAAGGTGCTGTCTGTGATGCTGTTTGAAGCCAGTTAGTCCTCTGTGCCTCCTTACATTCTTTGTCTTCTTTGCTAGAGGAATATAATGCCTCATGGGGCAGTTCTCTTAAATTTCCTGCCACCTTTCTTCTTTCCTTTTCTCTTATGAGAGCAAAATTGGACTTAATGGCCTCATATGATCCAGATAAGACCCTGAGGATGACTATGTCATATTTCCTATTTGCTTTTGCCATGCCTAAGGAACCTCCTTCTCTCTTGCTTGTCTGTTCACATCCTACAAAAAAGAATTGTTCTTTGCATTAAGCATCCAAGTGCCATTTTAATGAGTACGCAAAAATAAGCAAAAGGCATCTAGAATTTGAAACAGGATTGAGATTGCATCCAAGTCTGCCCCAAAATTCTAAGAAAAATAATATGGTGCTTCAGTTATGAGACAGGCTTCCCTTTCATAATAGTTTATGCATAATCGTTTCACTTACAATTGGGATTCCTCTAATGCTGATTCTGCTGACCTCATGAGCTAAAATACAATATTAAGGTTCATGTTATAGAAGAGTTCTAAGCTTCAAATTTTGACGAGCAGCAAATAAGAATATAGATGACTACCACTGGCTAGAAGTTTTCTGCATCTTATTGATCCTTTTGTTTAAGAGGAGTATTTACTGTGTATTTACTGAATGCATTGCCAAGGATACTCTATTATTTAACATGTGTGGAACATGTTATTTAGTAGATGCTTTTATTTAAAAGACTAAGCAGTTAGAATATGCTTTCTACAGTAAATACTATGCATTTTGAAAAGATACTATACTAAAAATTTTATACAGTATAATAAAATGAGGCATTTACTTGTATAATAATGACTGTCTTCTATTTTTTTTCTACTGAAGTGCAAAATACACTAATATCCATGAAGTTCCAATATCCAAATGTTCCTCTTTGAATTACAAATGAGAAAATAGACCTGAATTGTCTTTTTTTTTTTTTTTTTTTCTTTAAATACTTGTTTTTCAGTGAAACAATCATGTTTCTTCATGAAATATTTCACCAAGGTTTAAAAGCAAGAATAGCTAATTGGCCTACCTTAATTCTAGGTAAGTTACTGTATTTTCTCTAAGGGTACAATTTTCTTAATTATTGCTAGTGTCCTTTTTGAGTGGAATATGTTTGCAGAAGTAACACTATGAGATCTGGTGTAGTGAATGTTCCATGTGAGCAGTAATATGACTCTCTCGAAGTCCATATACGAGAATGCCTCTGGGTTAGCCTCTACGCTAAGCATTGTTTAGACATGGGCCCCTGAATTTTCAGTGATATTAGCTGATTACTAATCAGAACAACTGTATTTTGGCAGGTGGAGGAACCAAGTTTAATGCTTCTAAAATCTCAGTACTGATTACAGTAATTCACTTCCATAGAACATAGTAGTTTCTTTAAAAATACATTCCAAGAGATGGGTAGCTGGAAAAAAAAAGCATTTTTTGACTTTTTCTAGCTGACTTATTTGACATTCTGCTGCCAATGCTGAACATATATCAAGAATTTGTTCGGAATCATCAATATAGTCTACAAGTACTGGCAAACTGTAAGCAAAACAGAGATTTTGACAAACTCTTGAAGCAATATGAAGCCAACCCAGCATGTGAGGGGCGAATGCTGGAAACTTTCCTTACTTACCCCATGTTTCAGGTAGTCTCTGTACATTTTTTTCACTGTTTGTTTTTATTGTTTGGTTGACTCATTTTGTGTTACTGAAATTCTGATTAATAGAAGATGCTTTTTGCTTAACTAAAGTAGTCTTGTGCAAATTAATTTAGCTTTCATTTATTTATTAGGCACTGCCTGTAGAGATCTTTTCTCCAACTACACTGATTCAGCTCTATCCAGAATCTTGTGTACGTTCAAGGAGAATGTTAGATGAGGACTAGTGCCAAACAAAAAAGAAAAGTTGAGAAACAAATTCTCAATTTCTGACCTGCTGCAGGGATATGCAGCAATGTAACTGGTATAACAAGCTAGAACAACCACAAGCATTTTACAAGGAATACTCTTGGAAACCGTTTTGTTCTCCAGTGACCTGGTCTTTAGAAAATGAACAATATTCTACAGAAGTTTTGAAAACTTTTTTAGCCTTGTGGTACTTTGTCTTGATCTGCCTGGATTAATTATTTGCAGCTGTTTTCATAGGTCTATGAAATGCTGGTTTGAAGATTTTGTGACTTACACATTTGACATAACAATTTACTCATCATTACAACAGTGAACACCCTCAGTTTGTTCAGTTACTGCAAAAGACGTAGAGAGAGAAAAAGAAAAAAGAGGGTCACTGACATTTGTGGTAGTTCTAGTCAGCCGTATTAACCTAAAGGCCATTACCACCTGTAACACTGCATTTGTTCAGCTTTGAATTTGTATGTCATAAAGTTTGGGGATCTTTTGATTGAAAAAAGATTTGAAGAAAGATCTTGGAATTTTAAAGGGGAAATAGAAAATAGGATACAAAACCTATTCAGTATGTGATGGGCACAGTGTCATTGCTGAGGACTTTTCATTTCAGCATAAGAGAAGACACCTCTCCACTTTCTAAATGACTTTTACCCTGTAAAAATAAGTTTACTATAGTATCACTTGGTTCTGTTTAACAATTATGAAACTGCTTTAAGTGATGACAAAGTGAATCAGTGTCATTGTTCTTTTATTCCATCTTTAATGCCCATCAGTACAATGTGAATTCTTTCATTTATATGCTAACAGGTTAGCTGGTATTTTCAAAGTCATAAAAAAATCTAGATGCATGTATCCTATCAAAATTGTGGGAAGGTATACATGGATCTCCCAGAGAGTTCTGAAAGTTTTCTCTGTTGACACATGGATAGCAGCATGAAAACGTGAAATTTATGTCATATTTGTCACTGCCTCTGACCTGATTTTTTTCTTAAAATGTAAGAAAAAAACCTTGTGTTTCTTCAAACTGAGAATGTACCTATGCATATGCAGCCTCTGTCACCTAAAAAAAATAAATTCTAAATAAAACTGCTCACTTTGGCAGGTCTATTTAGAGTTTATGTATAATTACTTAGCTGTGGATATTAAAAAAATTAAAAAAAAAGAAAAAAAAAGACCATGCTTGTAAAACTTTAGTGGTGAATATAATGGCTAATATTTAAGAAAATGCTGTATTGGAATTATTCCTTCATGGATTTGCTGATTCTATACCTAATTTATTTTAAGATCCCTAGATATATTATAACACTGCATGAACTTCTGGCTCACACACCACATGAACATGTTGAACGAAAGAGCCTTGAATTTGCTAAATCTAAACTGGAAGAACTTTCAAGGTAAGTCTTTTCACCTTTTTTTTTTTTTTTTTTTTTTTTGGATAATCCTGCATCAAAGACTCTGAAATGAAAAATCAGTTTTCTTTGTTTTAGTTTGTTTTTTGTTCTTTTTTAAAAAGTTCTCCTAAAGAAAAGGAAGAAAACCAAACCAGAATAAAGATAACCAAAGCCAAAATACTAGTACTTTGGCTCTTCTGTTTGTTTGTTTGTTGTTTTTTTTTTTTTGACTAACAAATCTACAAGTGTTTCCTTGTATTTTGGGTAGGGGAGAATAGACTTGCTATAGAAACTACCTACCCTTGGGTTGTGGGCAAAGTAATTTTCTTTATATACACACATGTATGTATTTTTTCACAGTTTAAAAAAGGGGGGGGGGGCATTTTTGATATTCTGTGAGAACGGGGATCAGTCAGGGTCTTGAAAATTACTGAGTTCTCAATCTGTGTTACAGTTTGCATGTGTTAATGAAATTATGATCTACACATATGCTTTAAATAATACCAGATAAACAGGAGCTAAAGATATATTTTAAGAATTGGTGCTCCCTGTAAAATCCTGCAAAATTAATGTCTTCCCAGAAATCCCCTATCCTTTCTTAGATATTTCTCTCTGTCAGCCCAGTAGGAAATTTGGTTGCTATCTCTAGGCAACACAGCTTTCTGTTGTGCAGCAAAGAAATGCTGCATGAACTCTAGGACATATGCCTTGAATATCTGGAGTATTCACCAAATAAATACTTATGAAATATGTAGTTGTAAACCAGTGATTGCTTTGTAGCTTTTGTTAATTGCATGCTTTGGACTGTTCATTTTTTTAATGCTGTTAAGACCTAGTGGCTATGTTGTGCAAACTACCCACTAATTTTGAGCTTATTATCTTTTCCTTTTTGTCATGCTATATCTTCAACACAGGCAGCTTTCTGAGTCACCTACAGGTCATGTCCTGCCACCTCTTCAAGCACTGACTTCTTAAAGAGCTGGGCAGGCAGTGACTTTTATAAAAGTGTCTGTGTTTGATTCCTGCAGTGTTTAGCAAGATCTTCCATGTTATGAGGCCATTTGAAGCAGAAAAGAGCATCTCCTTTCCATTTAGTCAAAGCATAGAATTTCTATGATTAGTGTTATATGTGCAATCAGATCAAACAACTTTGACTCTGCTTCTTCTCATAAGTCAGAGTTCATTGCTGATCTAAAAAATTCATCCCTGAGTGTTCAGAATTGGAGGCTCAGGTTGACTGATCCTCCTCTTCTCATAAGGCAGGTAGTACAGACCATAAATATAAAACTTTGTGACTCATTTATTGTAGATTTGAGGGAACAGTAACTTCCAGATAGTGCAGTGAAGTCCCAGTTCAGGAACATCACAGCATCATCTAAGTTTGTGTTGAGTTCAGCCTTGGAAAAAAATGTTCTTCTCTGTGTAATGGGAGGATATCTATGAAAATAAGCAAAAGAAGTTTGGAGGTGAGCCATTGAAGCCGTGATTGTTGTAGGAAGCAATGAGGAAGTGAATGGTACATTCAAATGTAAACTGAAGCAGAATAGAGTGAGAACCTAAAATCAAGGACAAAGACTCCAAAATATGTTATATAACTAATTCAAAGAACTAGAAAACGCTTCCAGTTTTGTGGTAGACTCTCTTATTACCAATCCAGAAGCACTCTTCTAGCAGCTGTGAAGAGTTTTTAGCTTGGTGACATCTGTCAGGTGTGTTCAGGAAAAGTCTAAAAACAACTCTGGCAAAATAGGTTTTACTGCTGAAAAAAATAAATGATTGCAACAATGATTTGAAAGGGGGAAAAAAAAAGAAACTCACAGGAATAATCATGTACCGCATGTATGTGTGTTTTGTGGCAAAGGACATTAGGTACTTTTTGTGCATACACTGGATAAGTGCAAGTGAAAATAGACGCAGCAGGTGCAAGATATATTTCAGGGAATTTAAAGTGCATTTTTATTGTGTCTGACAGGGTGATGCATGATGAAGTGAGTGACACAGAAAACATCCGGAAGAATCTAGCCATAGAAAGAACAATTGTAGAAGGCTGTGATATTTTACTAGATACTAGCCAAACTTTTATACGCCAAGGTAAGATATTCTCCTTTAAAGCTATCTATATAATCATGACAAAAATGCTTTAAAACCAGCAGGATTCACATTGCCATCATTGGGCAGGTCACTACACTAGGCACAGCTGACGTACTTGAAGATTAACACTTCATGTAGGATAGGTCATAAAATGTTATCAACAGATGACAACTAATTTGGGACTATAGCTGATCCCCCACTTCTGTGCTGTTTTCTTGAGGAACCATGAAAAAAGGCAGCGCAGTAATGGTAAAGCATCCATGGTACAGTAATATACACACTGGACTGTGATCTTCAAAAGAATTACCTACAGCTCCACAGAGACCATGGCTGCCAATGATAGTGGATGCCAACATTTGAGAAGAAGTGCAAGAGAAGTTTGAGGCTTTGTCAAATGATAAAATGGTTGCTAAGACAGAAAACAGCTGTCAGTAGTTCCTATTTTTCTCAGTGCTTCAGAAATACCTCAAAATTGATCATGACAGAATAGATACAATACCTGAACATACTCACCCTGTCCCCTGAGATGTACATTTTTGGGCTTCAGTAGAAGTTCAGGATAGATACAAAATGCAGTCCTACAAGAAGAGGTCATGAAAAAAGGAGATGTCTTGTTCTTTCTGTTAAAATGTGTAAGAAATCAAGCAGAGAAGACAGGAAACTGGCATGGCTGAGTAAGACCTGTTGGTCAGACTGAGGCACAAGAAGGAAATAGGCAGTGGAAGAAGGGACACATGGCCTGAGAAGAGTACAGGGATGCCATCCAGGTGTGCAGGGATGGGATCAGGAAAGCCAAGGCGCTGAAGTAACTGAGCTTGGCAAGGGATGCAAAAAAAAAAAACAAACAAAAAACAAGAAGGGATTCTAGAGGTACATTGGCCAGAAAAGAAAGGCCAAGAAGTGTTACCTCTCAGACAAAGGAGAAGGGAGAACCGCTAACAACAGACATGGTGAAGACTGAGGCACTCAATATCTTCTTTGCCTCAGTCTTCACAGAGTCATCTAGGTTGGAAGAGACCTCCAAGATCACTGAGTCCAACCTCTGACCTAACACTAACAAGTCCTCCACTGAACCATATCCCTAAGCTCTACATCTAAACGTCTTTTAAAGACCTCCAGGGATGGTGACTCAACCACTTCCAAAGGCAGCCTATTCCAATGCCTAACAACCCTTTCAGTAAAGAAGTTCTTCCTAATATCCAACCTAACCCTCCCTGGCGCAACTTAAGCCCATTCCCCCTTGTCCTGTCACCAGGCACGTGGGAGAACAGACCAACCCCCACCTCGCTACAGCTTCCTTTAAGGTACCTGTAGAGTGTGATAAGGTTGCCCCTGAGCCTCCTTTTCTCTTTTCCAGGCTGAACAATCCCAGCTCCCACAGCTGATCCTCATAAGACTTGTTCTCCAGACCCTTCACCAACTTCATTGCCCTTGTCTGGACTCGCTCGAGCACCTCAGTGTCCTTCTTGTAGAAAGGGGCCCAAAACTGAACACAGTACTCGACGTGTGGCCTCACCAGAGCTGAGTACAGGGGACAATCACTTCCCTAGCCCTGCTGGCCACACTGCTTCTTATACAAACCAAGGTGCTGTTGGCCTTCTTCGCTACCTGAGCACACTGCTGGCTCATAATCAGCTGACTATCAACCATCACTCCCAGGTCCTTCTCTGCCTGGCAGCTCTCCAACCACTCATCTCCCAGCCTGTAGCTCTGCTTGGGTTTATTGCACCCCAGGTGCAGGACCCGGCACTTGGCCTTGTTGAACTTCATGCAGTTGACCTCAGCCCATTGGTGCAGCCTATCCAGATTCTCCTGCAGAGCCTTCCTACCCTCGAGCAGATTGACACACGCACCTAGCTTGGTGTCATCTGCAAACTTACTGAGGGTGCAATTGATCCCCTCACCCAGATCATCGATAAAGATATTAAAATGAACTGGCCCTAGTACTGAGCCCTGGGGGATGCCACTAATGACCAGCCTCCAGCTGGATTTGACTCCATTCACCACGAGTCTTTGGACCCGGCTACCCAGCCAGGTTCTAACCCAATGAAGCATATGCCAGTCCAGGCCGTGAGCAGACGGTTTCTTGAGGAGAATGCTGTGGGAAACAGTGTCAAAAGCCTTGCTGAAGTCAAGGTAGACCACAACCACAGCCTTTCCCTCATCCACCAAGCGCGTCACTTTGTCATAGAAGGAGATCAGGTTCGTCAAGCAGGACCTGCCTTTCATAAACCTATGCTGACTGGGCCTGATCGCCTGGTTGCCCTTCACTGCCAGTCAGGCATCCCATGGCTCTCATTTCCCTAGACCTCTACACAGGGACTGGGGGAACTAAGTCCCTCCCACTGCAAGTGAAGAGCAGGTTCATGAGCACCTGATGAAATTGAAGAGGTGTAAGTCTATGGGGCCCAATGCCATGCATCCCAGGGTCTTGAGGGAACTGATTGATGGAGTTGCCAAGCCTCTCTCCATCATACTTGAAAACTCTTGGTGGTAAGGTCATGTTACCAGTGACTGGAAAAAGGGAAACATCACTCCTGTTTTTAAAAAAAGGTAGACAGGAAGACCTGGGGAACTACAGGCTGGTGAGCCTCACCTCTGTACCTGACAAGATCATGGAACAGATCCTCCTGGAAGCAATGTCAAAGCACATGCAAGATAAGGAGGTGATCCAAGACAGCCAGCATGGCTTCACTAAGGGCAAATCTTGCCTGACTGATCTGGTGGCCTTCTGTGGTGGAGTGGCTGCATTAATTGACAAGGGGAGACTGACCGATGTCATCTACCTGGTCTTCTGTAAGGCCTTTGACATGGTCCTACATGACATCCTGACCTCCAAATTGGAGAGATATGGGTTGGAAGGGTGGAGCATTCAGTGGATAAAGAATTGGCTTGAAGGCTGCACCCAGAGAGTGGTGGTCAATGTCTCTATGTCCAGGTGGAGTCCCTCAGGGCTTCTGTCTTGGGACCGGTGTTTAGTGTTGTTATAAGTCTGAGAGAGCTGGGGCTGTTCAGCCTAAAAAAGAGAAGTCTCTGGGGAGACCTCATTGCAGCATTTCAATACTTAAAGGGAGCTTATAAAAAAGATGGGAAGGGTCTTTTTACATAGGCAGACAGTGATAGGACAAGGAGGAAAAGCTTTAAGCTAAAAAAAGGGAGATAGAGATTAGGGGTCAGGAGGAAATTCTTTACTCAAAGGGCAATGAGGTACTGGCACAGGTTGCCCACAGAAGCTATGCACGTCCCGTCTCTGGAGGTGTTCATGGTCAGATTGGATGGGGCCTTGGCCAAGCTGATCTAGTGGGTGGCATCCCTGCGTATGACAGGGGATTGGAACTGGATGATCTTTAAGGTCCTTTCTAACCCAAGACATGCTATGATTGTATGATTCTGATGTAGAATTAATTCTAATAAAATGAACTTAGCAAAAAGAGAGAGGAAATGTTACTCATTCTTTATTCTCAGTGGTTTTGGAAACTGTTCCCAGTGAAGCCTAGGTATAGCAGATCAAGGGAAGTGATCCTTCCTCTCTACTCAGCTTTGGCAAGGCTGGAGTATCTGGATTCCTGTATCCACTTCTGGGCCCCTAAGTTCAGGAGAGATATGGACATACTGGAGAAAGTCCAACAGAGGGTGACTGAGATGATCAAGTTGCTGGAGCACCTGTCCTGAAGGGAAGCTGAGAAAACTGAGACTGTTCAGTCTGGAGAGCAGCAGGATCCGGGAGGATCTTATCAATGTATATAAATACCAGTATCAATGTATATAAATACGAGAAGGGAGGTTGCAATGAAGATGGAGCCAGACCATTTTGAGTGGTGCCCTGGGATAGGACAAGAGGCAGCAGGCATAAATAGGAACACAAAAGGTTCTGTCTGAATGTCAGGAAGCACTTAATTACTTTATGAGTGACTGAGCACTGGCACAGGCTGCCCAGAGAGGCTGTAGAGTCTCCTCGGAGATTTTTAAAAGCTGCCTGAACATGGGCCTGGAGAACCTGCTCTCAGTGGCCCTGCTTGAGCAGGGAGGCTGGACCAGAAGAGCTCCAGAGGTCCCTTCTAACCTTAACCATTCTGTAATTCTGTGATAGCAGAGAATGAATTTCTTGTTATGTTTCACAAAACTGTAATTTAGAATAAGTGTTAAATTTAACCAGGAACTGTAAAGAGGTTGCAGTTCTTATCTGGAGGGGCTTACTTCAATGGTAGAGCAACAAATGTGAAAACTTCATAATTGAAGCTTATTTTTCATTTATATACAAATTTACTTCTGGATCTTTTGTGACTACTTAGTAGACCTGTATACAGTAGCTGCATCATTTTGACTAGGTACAAGCTTTTATTGTATCTGAAAAGAATAACATATTTAATGAAGGTTGGGAATGTAGTTTAGGTGTATCCCTTCATGAGATCTTCTCTAGCTAGCATTATCAGGATATCTGATGTTTAAGTAGAGCCATATGCATAGCTAGTTGTTTAATAGTTTTAGAATAAATTTTGAAATCCTTTCTGTAGTGTTTCTTTAGTTATGTGGCCAAACTGTGAAGCATTCTATAATAACTACCAATACTGTTTGTACAATGTCCACTTGTAACTTACTGGATCATTTCTTAAATTTACGTATTTGTTATAATGGAGGTATTTAAAGAGTTATGAACGTAGCTCCGAGAAAAATATAAATCTGTTACAGTGCATCCACTTCAAGAAAATTACAGGGTTGTGATTTGCCTTGACTGACTTTTACCATGCAATTTACTTAAACTGAATAACTTTTTATTCAGTATGATTAAAATATTTTGCATTTAAATGTCTATTTTTTTCCCCTTAAAATTCACTAGTATCATTTGTCTGTGTACCTAGTATTTCTTCAGTAAAAAAAATATTAATTTTTCTGTGGGAATCAGTCTGTAAAGGTTACTGTTAGAGTGTACTGTGTGACCCAGGTCAAACTCGTGGCTTAAGTAAACCAATTTCAGATTCATTTCGGGGATACAGACAAGGACAGTGTATAACTGGATGTGAGCCAGCAGTGTGTGCTTGCAGCCCAGAAAGCCAACAGCGTCCTGGGATGCACCAAAACAGGTATGACCAGCAGGTCGAGGGAGATCAAGTCTCTGAGAGCTGGGCATGTTCAGCTTGAGAGAGAGAAGGTTCCGGCAGACCTCATTGTGGCCTTTCAATACTTAAACAGATCTTATATAAAGGATGGAGTAGGACTCTTTACTTGGGTAGATAATGACAAGATGAGGGAATGGCCTTAAACTAAAAGAGGATAAATTTAGATTTGGCATCAGGAAGAAATTCTTCACTGTAAGGGTAGTGCAGCACTGGAACAGGTAGCCAAGAGAAGTTGAAGATGCCCCATCCTTGGAGGTGTTCGAGGCCAGGCTGGATGGGGCCTTGGCCAACCTATCTAGTGTGTGGCATCCCTGCCTATGATAGTGGTTGGGGGGGTGGGGGGATTGGAACAAGATGATCTTTAAGGCCCCTTCCAACTGGAGCCATTCTATAATTCTGTGATTCTATGGTAAGCCTGTATGTTACTGAATCATAGAATATCCTGAGTTGGAAGGGACCACAAGGATCATCAAATCCAACTCCTGCCTCCACACATTTCTACCTAAAAATCAGATTATGTGTCTGAGAGCATTGTCCAAACGCTTCTTGAACTCTGTCAGGCTCGGTGCCATGACCACTGCCCTGGGGAGCCTGTCCCAGTGCCCAACCACCTCTGGGTGCAGAACTTTTCCCCAGCCCCCAGCCTGACCCTCCCCTGTCCCAGCTCCATGCCGTCCCCTTGGGTCCTGTCGCTGTCCCCAGAGAGCAGAGCTCAGCGCCTGCCCCTCCGCTCCCCTCCTGAGGGAGCTGCAGGCCACCACGAAGCCTCCCCTCAGCCTGTTCTGCTCCAGGCTGAACAATCCAGGCAATTTCAGCAGCTCCTCATGTGAGTTCCTCAGCTCCCTCTAGACCCTTCACCATTTTTGTTGCCCTATGTTGCCTCTGCAGGAAGGGATCTATTGATAATAAATACATATGAGATGTTCAAGCAGGAAAAAACACACCCTTCCCTTATGTGGCACCATTGGGATTGCTCTGTGTTAACAAAAGGCTGGGAGTGTCTCTACACTAATGGTGGCCACTTGCTGCTGAGCTGGATGGGGTTTGCACAGTTGTCCCCATTGTGCCAGACCCACGGCTCTTCCAGCTAGCACTACTGACTGCTTCAACAGCTGCTATGGGTTTCTGGGGTCCCAGGGGACAGCAGCATGGGGCCTTGAGTGGCTGCAGGGCTGGTGGGAACAGGAGGCTGCATGTCTGGGGGGATGAAGTGACTGGGGCACCCAAGGCCTTACTCTTTGCCTCCATGTGGCTGGCTGGGAGCTATGGCTGGCCAGATCTTCCCCATGGGGGTTTGTGCCACTGATGTGCTCAAAGCCAGGGTTCATCCATGGAGCTTTGAGCTCTGCAAGTGCAAGGCCAAAATACTGCCTAGTGGCAGCCAGACATTTGCGTGCAGGACCAAGCAGGCGATGCAGCATGGCAGTCAGGCTGCCACGATGCACCTTTGGGTGTTATTTTAAGAACAGCTACATCAAAGTTTATCTTTTAAAATACCTAATACATGTGATACTGTGCAAATGCAGAAATCTGAATTGAGCTAATGAAGTAATACCAAGCCCATTTGCCTTTCACATCTGACTGTAGGGTCACTTTGAGAGTGACGTCAGTCTCCTCTCATTTCAGTTAGGCTTGTTTTCTTCCTCTTCATCAGTGTAGACTGGTACAGGAAACATCTTTCTGGCACAGAAAGGGATAGGTATCTTTGCCTTTATTCAGGTTTTTCCTATGAAGGTCCATTTCATCTTTGCCATATTGTATCTACGTTACATACTTTATTTTTCTAAGAGTTTGACTGTGTGAAGAATGTTGAGACCATAGGAATTCCCTCATTTACATTTGCAATGTGTATTTTGGAATCCTCTTCAGGTTTCTTGGGGTTCCCTTTTATTTCTCTCATATTTACATACAGACTTTATTGCCAGGCACTCTGTAAGTCAAGGCAAACCGTTAAGGAACATCATCTTTAAGAGTCTAAAGTTAAAACAGCAGTCTCAGTCTGTAATACAACATTGGCTGACACCCGGAAGGCTGTCATCTGGCGGCCCTTCAGAGGCCACCAAATACTTTGTCTGTTCTTCCTTACATCAGCTGCACTGAATTTACCCCTGCTGACAAATATATCACAATTAAAAAGTCATGCAATAGTTGACATTGGAAGGGATTTCTGGAAATAGTCCAGTCCAATCCCACCTGCTTAAAGCAGCATCAACTGGAGCAGGTTGCTCAGTACTATATCCAGTCAAGTTTTGATTGTTTCCAAGAATGGGGACTCCACAGCTTCGAGTGAGCAACCTGTTCCACTGTTTGACCACCCTCATGGTGAAATAAAACTTTCCCCAGTGGAGAAAGCCAAACTGAATTTGTAAACCACTCAATACAATGTAGTTTTTTGTTGTTGTTGTTGTTTGGTTTAAATACAACCCTTTGTACTCATTGGATTGAACATGAGCTATTACGACTATTCTAGCAGTATTGAAGTGTGAGTACTGAATGTGCTTAGGTCTGTAGCTTGGTAAAAATTCCTCAGATTACACCAATTGTCCAAATCATATACTATTAATGAATATTCCAAAATTATCTTCACTCAGTTATTGCAGCTGTATACTGGCCAATCATGACTTTTTTTTTCCCCTTAAGAGGAAATCTGTAATAGAAGCCATGTCAGGCAAATCATTTTCATTAATCACAAGAGCTTCACAGGAATGCACAAGGGCCTTGTTAGATGTCAGCCACACAGAAATCTGTTTCTCTCTGTGAAAGTTCAGCATCAAAGACAGATAATGCTGTCTTTCTGCTGCATTTAAAATCTGCAGTTTCTTTTGATTTACCTTAAACAGTGATATTTCAGGTCCACACAAGTACACCATTTAACCTTCATCCCATTTTAGCAGAACAGAATATGGTATTCCTAAAAGCATTCTAAAGAAAATAAATAAATAAAACATAATACAAATCAAGTTCCAAGGATATATGTATATGTGTATTATATTTACAACATTTTTCTAAGGAGCAGCATAGGAAGAAAAGAACAAGTAGAATGTTGTTACCAAAATGTGTAGGGGGAATTTCAGGAGAAAATTACACTAAGAATTTTGGGATGGGAAGTTGCTTGTGAATTGTTTTGTACATAGTACTGGCCTTGCACTAGGAGCTGGGGGACAACCAATGTCACAGAGAAATCACAGCTCCAACACATGGGAATGATCTCCTTGCTATCTTTTACAGTAGAGATAAATACACTGTTTTGTCCAAGAGAATTGTAGAACAAATAGTGTTTTTTTTTTTTCTTTTGTTAGAACTCAGGTGAACCTCAAAAATGTTGCATACCTTTGCAAATTTCTGGAGTAAAACATCACTGTTTTGTTGCAGTGACACAAATCATTAAATTTAAAAGTGAAATGGCTGTCAAAGTCTACTATAATGTTATGTTTACCAGTATATATTTTGCTATGCCAGATAATACGTTTCAAGTATATTAATAACACTAATTAAATACATAAGGGGAACTAAATGCAGAAAAATGTGAAGTTTAGAAACAATAGCTTTTTCAGAATGTTGTCATCATTTCTTCATAAGTTTAAGATCATGTATGTGAACTTCAAATTGCACTTCGCTGTCAAAATTGATTCCACATTCAAAATCAGAAGTAATAACACATGGTGATATCAATATGCAAATGTTGCTCCGATACTGTTTTTGAGGCATGAAACTGTACAGAATTTTTCCCCAGTCTGGAATTCTGCACAGCAGACCTACATAATGAGATTCAGTTTAGTTCTGAAGTTTTAGATGAGCTGTGTAGCACTGAAATTTACACAATGTAAGGTAGGAAGATAAGAAGAAACCTGCTTCATTACCGTCTCTCTTGCACAGAGGCACACACAGAAAACTGTTTTCCTTCAAAACATTCTCTTTTCATTCTCTGTCTTTTTAGCTTGAAAGTAATATACCTTGTGCAAGGCTAGCAGCTGCCAAAAGTGGAGTTGTTGTTCAGCTTTGTTTTCTGAACAATGTACTATTAATGTCTTAAAGATACATAAAAATTTGCCCAAGATCTGGTCCAGGCATGTACATAAGTATAGGTCTAGACTGTGCTTGCTTGATTCTAAGCATGTTGTTGTAAAGACAAACTTTTTTCTCTCCATAAAAAAGTGTAAAACGGTTATCCTGAACTCACTCTAAAAAATAAAATGAGCTGGTACAAAGAAATATGAATGACTTGTGTTTAAAACAGATATTGATGTGTATTAGTACTTTATAGAATGAAAAGTTGCATGATTTAATGTCATAGTGTCTGATGGATTAACACTACACACACCACCTACCAAATATTATTATTGTTACAGTATGTTTTTCATTTTGATTGTTATTAGGTTCCCTTATTCAAGTCCCTTCAGTTGAGAGGGGAAAACTTAGTAAAGTTCGTCTGGGATCATTATCTTTGAAAAAAGAAGGAGAAAGGCAGTGCTTCTTATTTACAAAGCATTTTTTAATATGTACAAGAAGTTCAGGAGGAAAACTGCATCTGCTCAAGGTACAGATTATGACTCAGTTTATGAAATGAAAACACAGCTTCAGTGAAATTTCAATATTTTATGGCTTTAACCTGAGATTTTGTGTTATCATGAAAAGAAGTGAGATGAAGTAATTGATTGCTCTGTCTTCTTGCTGCAAATAATAAAATTCAGCCAAAGTTCTTAATAATAAAATATTATAAGTTTTTTTTTTTCTTTTTCTTTTTCCAGAACTGTGTAATCCTAATAATTTGGGGGCTAGAAACAGGACATAGTGTGTACCTCTGTATATGCTATCACTGACTGTGAGTCAGTTTTCAGTACATATCAGCCAGTACAACCCCATGGATTTAGCAAGGAATAATTTCCAGAGCTCTTAATAAAATTAATTTTAGAAGTTAGTTCTGTTTTCCAAACAGCATATTTTCTCAAACCAAATGTTCTTCTAAGAATATTCTAGTTGTATTAGTTGAGAATCAGGCCTTCTTGGGTTGGCTTGTGAATAAAGAAGAATTAGTTTAGAGTGGTGTATATTGAACAGAATTTCAGGCTGACAAAGGTATTATTTCTGAGATATTATTAAGACTGCTTAATAAGAGAGTCACTTTCATTACTTTTTGTATGCTTTCTCACTTTGTACTCTTTAAGTAATTAATGTATTTTGCAAAGTAAATTAAGTGTAACTGAACCAAAAGCATTAAATTGATATAAATTCAGTAGAAAATGATGAAATTCTAACCATTTTTGAATCTTGTGATCAAGCTTTTATATGAGATAAATTATATATTGTAGTAAAAAGGAAAAACATTTGGCACATTTAATTGTATTATTGATTTGATTGCCTAAGAAAGATATTATATTTAATCTAGGTGGTTTTGGTTCCTGAGGAAAAATATGCATCTAGAAACTGATACACCTACATAAGTGCTCTGAGTAATGTAAAAACATACAGTAAGGTATATCAATGTTTAAAAATATTTGTAATGGCAAATAGGATCAGATGTCTACATTTATGAAAAACGTGCTTTGTTCTCACAGACAGGAGGTGTTCTGTCTTTAATAGAGTGCACACTGGTTGAGGAGACAGATGCAGCTGATGATGACTGTAAGTTACATTCAGATGTTTGTCGTAATTACAGTTCTAAGAATGTTCTTGAAATTGTTACCCTTTGATTATTTTTCATAAAAAACAAATTGTTAAGTTCTCCCTGTTCATGAAACCAGAGAAATAACTCAGTTAACTGATTGTGTAGAATAGATGTTTTCATAATGGACATGCTGGTTTACATAAGGGTTTGTTTTGCTTTGTTTGTTCCTGCTGTTGACATCCCACATAAGATTTTCATGTACATTGGCTGAAAGAATGTGACAAATTATTTGCTGACTTTTGTATACAAGTTCACCCTGAGGATCTTGGAAGGAAGGAAAAACGTCTTGAAAGACAAAACAGATAATTGAGTTTCTTAAATACATGGGGGCTGAGTGAGTTGGCAGAATTAGTGGAAAGTTTCTGTCTTGGACTCCCTGCAAATCTTGATTACAACCTTCTTCAAATGAAATTACAAAACACATTCCCAAGCTGATTTTACTGTTACTCAGTTTGGCTTCCATGCTGGACTTTTAGGCAAGAATCGCACTTGAATTGTGAAAGTAGTTTCATTGATTTCAGCATATCTGTAGTATATTAACAAAGAAGTGTTAGAAGGACTCTAGCCTTATTTGACATTTTAAAAAGTAATTTACAGCAACTTTCACTGTTGCATGTTTGTAGCTTATTTTTTATTTGGTATATGTGGAAAAACAAAATCACTGTCTTGGATCACCAGTTGGATTTGCTCTTTGTCAGAGGAATGCTTTAAAGTAACTTCCACTCTAAGTGGAAACATTATTTCTTTATTCTGTGGTTTGAAAGCTCACATTTTGACTTTTTTTTTTTTTTTTAACTCCTCTCACTGTAAAGCAAAAAGTTCTGGACAGGTGTTTGGACACCTTGATTTCAAGCTTGTAGTTGAACCTACGGATGCTCCTTCTTTTACTGTTGTCCTCTTAGCCCCTTCACGTCAGGAGAAAGCTGCATGGACAAGTGATATAAGTCAGGTAGCTTACTACATTCTTTATCTTGTTTGTTATGAGATCTTATTTTATTCTGTGTTTCTGAGAACTAATTCAAGAGTGAGCTGATAATTTCTTGAGGGCTGATTGACTGTGAAGATACTTTAGTGTTACCTATTTTCCCCAAAATCTTGTCCTTGCATTTGAGTCATCAGTGAAATATGTGTATCAATGAGAAGTGAAAAGCTCCACAGCCAACTTGACAGTTACATGCCTGCAAAGCTTGGAACTGGCATAGTAAGGTAGAGGTAAATATAACTAGCTGCATATAGCTGAGAGAGCAAAGAGTGAAGGGGTTAGTCAGATAGCCAGGGAATAACCATAAGAAACTTTTATTCTCTTGTTCCATCTTTGAGGAAAGGAAAGTCTCCTCCAGCTATTGAAGACAGGGATTCTGGAGAGGATTGGGGTCAACGATTAAGAGAATCTTATAAGTAAAAGCCTGAGAAAGCTGAGACCCGTTAGCAGTGTGAGAATGAAAGAGCTTGACCTCCAGCCTTACAAAAGAAGGGAAGCAAGAGATGATGAAGGGATAGGCATCACCTTAAAAGAAAAAAATAGTAAGGGCTTAAGACCCTGTGCAAACACCACAGGCATTTTGAAGGGGGAACTGGTACTATGGAACCACTACAGAATTGAGACCACGGGTCTCTTGAAAACAAAATCATGTTTCTGACTGAGCCCATTACCAGCAGAAACCATGTCATAAAAAATTACTGAATCAGCTGCCCAGAAGCACTTTTTTCTCTTTGTCCTGGCTACAGCCCTCAAGGAGAACGTAGGAACTACACTAACAAAAACGGGCATATAGAAAGCATTTTTTTGATTAAGGTGTGTTCTCCCAACAATGTTTGCAAATGAAAGTGTATACATGTAGTTGCAGTTCATCCACAGAATGTGTCTTGGTTTCCAGAGTTCTGCATATTTTATTAAATTACATATGTATATGGCATCTAAGTCTTATTTGATGGTATGTTCTTAGTGAGCTTTCTTGAATTTATATTCCTTTCATTCAAACTATAGGATTCTTATGAAAAGTGCTTTTTTTTTTTTTTTTTTTTTTTTTTTTTTTTGTGTGTGTGTGTGTGTGTTTTGTTTTGTTTTGTTTTGTTGTTGTTGTTGATTGATTTGACCCTAGATTCCTGTTACACTAATAACTTAGCTAGAAAGATGGTATCTGTGTACTATAGTATAGTTCTGTAGTATTATGTATGAGATATTTGTTGCAGACCATAAAAGCCTCTTCTGCCAGTGGACTGTCTGATCACTGCCAAGATCAAAGACTGTGGTGTTACCTCAACTACATCAAAGTACAAACCAGCAGAAAATGCTGTTCAAATGGCCTGTTCAAATGGCTTTGAGCTGTACTTAGGCACCACCAGCACTGAGCTGCTTTGAGGACTGACTAACTTGTAAACTTCTGTTTGACAGGACAGCCTATAATTTCAAAGCAGTGTGTTCTGTGAACATACCCCAGCAGTGTTCTTCCAGATCCTAATGCCTAGCCCAAAACTGTTATACAAGATTATGCAATGGACTCCTCTGACAGCAGCTTCATATCTGTATTTGAGAATAATAGCACCGTTTGATTTATTATTATTATTATTATTATTATTATTATTATTATTAACAATAAAAGTGTGTTTTTAGAAGCTATTTGTATCTCTGTATCTCACTTTATGTATAAAGTATTCTAACTTATTTCCAGTACTGATTTTTCAAGAGATGCTGGAGGTATTTAATTTTGTTCAGTTTCAATGGAACTTCATGGCTATTTAATTTCCAGCTCAAAATACCTAATCATGTGTAAAAGAGATTCTGAGCTGACTTTTATGAGTGTGCTGGTAAAGATGCATGGACTTGCAGCTGTGTAAATCAAAGGAAAAAGACTAGAGAATCATGTCCACAGTAATTCTTCCATCACTGCTTTTTCAGGCCCTATGAAAGCTATGTTGTAGGCTTACAGTGATCCTAACAGTGTGGAAGTAAGTCCTCTTAAAGTGTGTTTTGATGCTAACAGTTTTCAATATTTATTTTCACAGTGCATTGATAACATACGGTGCAATGGTTTAATGACCATAGTTTTTGAAGAAAATTCTAAAGTCACAGTGCCACATATGATAAAGTAAGTGCAGCATTCTTTTCCTAGTAAGAAAAATAGCCTTTTTGGTTTTTAATAGAAGTTTTATCAAAAGAAAATGTGTTTTTGGAAAATGAAGCCTTTTGTTTTGGTTTTCCTTCCTTCCTCCCTCCCTCCTTCCCTCCCTCCTTCCCTCCTTCCCTCCTTCCTTCCTTCCTCTCTCTTTCTCTATTTCTCTCTCTTTTTCTCTTTCTTTCTTTCTCTCTTTCTTTTTCCCATTTTTGTTGAATGGAATTAATTCTATATCCCAATATGTATCTTTTCAATCTGTTTCTTGAAGGGGTAGGAATAACTCAAGATGGTAAAGTCTTAATTCACAGTGTTGGACAGTATAGGATCACAGCTCAGATTTTTCTCTTCTTTGTGAAATTGCATTCAGTTATGCTTCAGATGAGTAATTTAATTCTGTTAGATTTTTGTCTTCTGTCTACAACTCATAATTTTATTAAATATATTTTAAAATTTCTGCACACTTTGGGTTGAGTACAGAAAAGTATCCTTTTCCGAAGTATTCTGCTTTACTAGCCAAATTTTTTCTTTTCCTTTTCTTATATCTGAGAAAAAAAATTCTTACCATTTGAACTGATCACATCAAAGTAACAATTATTATTCATAAACCTTCTTCCTTCACTCTTGCCTTCTTTCAGTTGTTTATTTTTTCCAGAAGAATCATTTTTGTTTGTAGGCAATATTTCAGTACTTGATTCCAACTTTCTAACATAGTTTTACCTTTGGGGTTTTCTACAGTTCTGTATTTACATCAGTTTTACCTACCAATATCAAATATAAATGTTAAGAAATAGAATGTACCCATCTGAACACAGTGCTACAGCACATACCCTTAATCACTGGAAAGAAGACATTTTATTTTCTTCATTTTAATTCCAGGAATTCTACAGTTTTTAAACACTTATGTTACCTACTGAATGTTAACATTAGTATCTTTTTTTCAAATAGTATATTACAGAAAAGTAAAAGGAAAAAGTCAGGAAAAAAAATCTTCATTCTAAAAAAACACACAGAATCTTAACAACATACAAATTTGTTCTTCCCTTTATGAAATTTTAATCATCAGTTTGATTTTTAGCATTCATTGGCCTTTAAAGTATGATAGTAAATAATGTCTTTGGACAAATATATTTAGATGAAATAAAAAAAAAATCCACTCTTCTGAGGACCCAACTTAAGAAAGAAGAATTGTATTTTAAGTAATGCAGCGGAGAAGTGCTCAGAATAATTTGATGATGTAAGAAAACACAAAACAGTATAGAAATATACTATACGTAGCATCCAACCTGTTTTTCTGTAGACTAAAGCATCAGCTAGATAAAATGAAGGAAAACCCCATTTAGAAAAAAACATCATGAGTAGGACTATATATGTGATTAATTCTTGTTGTGATGTCCAAGAAGGAGGGGAGGGGGGAAAGGGGGTGTTCTTATTTGAAGGCTGAGATGTTTCATTCTGTTCCTGTTTTCTTTCTTTCTTTTTTTTTTCCTTATTTTTTTTTTCCTAAGTAATTATTGGTGCCTGAGTGCAGGTGGTACATTGAAAGCAAGATTTAAGCTTAAATAAGGAGTTAGTTTTGCTGTCTTTTGCTGGGGTCCACTAGTTTATTTTATAAAGCAAGATCCCAGCAGAAAAGACTGCAAGCAGTTAAGTTATGTTACAGAACGCTTCTCATTGCAGTAGGTCTACATGGCACAACAGCTTAAAACAGACAAATGGTAACAATTCTGTCTCCTGTTCCACTTCAGAAATGTAGGCTTCATTAATGGTTTCTTAGGTTTTGAAATGTAAATTAATTATTTGCCAAAAATGAATCAAAATGGCTCCAATTATGACATAAAATATAACTGAATGGAAGCGGGCTTTCCCACAAATGAAGAGTTTTATTGTGTTGATAAAATAGAGGTATATATTTCCTGGTTCTTTGTTGACAGTAGTAACTGAAGTGATACCACTGCTGTGCCATAATAACTCTTCTTCTTTGGTGAAATGTTCTAATTTAATATTTGTGTAGGTCCGATGCTCGTCTTCATAGAGATGACATTGATATCTGCTTCAGCAAAACTCTGAATTCCTGCAAAGTACCTCAAATCCGTTATGCAAGTGTTGAACGGCTTTTGGAGAGGCTAACAGACTTGCGATTTCTAAGTATTGATTTCCTGAATACTTTCCTACATACTTACCGCATATTTACTACTGCAGCTGTTGTACTGGAAAAACTTTCAGACATATACAGACGGCCTTTCACTTCCATTCCAGTCAGGTGAGCTCTGTTTTTTTTTTTTTTTTTTTTTTTTTTTTTCTTCTATGATTAATTTCTTACAGAGTTACTGGGACGTTGTTTATTTTCAAACACGATTTTTTGTTACGTAAATAAGCTAAGAAAAAGGTTCATTGTTTGTAAATAGGATGCAAGTTTTTAGATAAATATGCCTCAACTTTTGACCCAGGCTTTGAGGACTAAGTGTCATACAGATTTTGCATGCACAAATTTGTTTGCAAGTGTTATCACCTAAATCTGTTTTGCATTTGTTATTATGATGTTGCTTTTTTGTTTCTTACTTTAAGGTCTTTGGAGTTATTTTTTGCTACCAATCAAAATAATAGAGGAGAGTACCTAGCTGATGGGAAGTCACCACATCTCTGTCGCAAGTTTTCTTCTCCTCCTCCACTGTCACTTTCCAGAACTTCCTCACCTGTCAGAACTCGAAAATTGTCATTGACTTCACCACTGAATTCGAGAATTGGTGCCCTTGATCTCACTACTTCATCTGTGGCGAGCAGTCCTACCTCGACCTATAGCCCGGCCACCTCTCCTCCACCAACAGGTAGCAAGGTACCTCTGGACCTTAGCAAAGGGCCCTCCTCTCCTGAGCAAAGCCCTGGCTCCATAGAGGACAGCTTGGAGAATCCTCGCATTGACCTCTGTAACAAGCTGAGGAGAAGCATTCGAAGAGGTATTCTTTATCTACAGAATACTGAATGTTACTTCTGCTAAATAGAGTTGTCTCTAATAAAAGCTTAATTTATGTCAGATTATTGCGGAGCAGTTGTTTTTTATTTCTTTTTGTTTCATGATCAGAGTAGCCTGTGATAATAAAATATTCTATTTCTTTTCCAGTAGAGGCTGTGATGCATTTCCACTGCATTTCCACTTCTTTTTAATATGAATAGCAGTATGGCAGAATTATATTGTCTGTTTTCCCTTTGGAAGAGTGTTAGGAGAAAGAGACAGAAATGCTTGATACCAGTTGAATTTCCTGAGAGTTACAGATTTTGGAGCTGTCCCATGAAGTAAAATATTAAGAGAAAAAGAAACAGGAATGTAAAAACCTGGCAGCTTTAACAAAGCAGGGCTAGTTTTTCAGAAGGATTTAATCACTAATCTGAACAAATAATGTATATGAGCATTTGGTGCATTGCTGAGATTCACGTCACCTGACTGTTATCAATCCAGAAGAAAGACATCTAAAAAAGATGAATTGCACCTGTGCAAATGCCTCTTTTCCGCTGTGGCCTCTGTGAGATACCTTAAAATAGGTATTACTTTCAGAAAGCTAGTTGATATAAACCTCACTGTGGACATATGGAATGGGAGCATTGCATACAGAACCATAGAGTCATTTAAGTTGCTCAAAGCAAGAAAGTAGCTCTAATCTCGTAGGATGCATGGGTGAGTAGTTATTTCTCATCACTGTTTGAGAGTGGAGAGGTGGTCTTCTCAATTGGAATAAAAATATATCCTAATTTTTTGTATGGTTGTTATGTTAAGCAGAAAATGAGGAAATACAAAAATACTGTTTTCTTACTAAAAACCATGTTTAGAAATTGTCCTCTGGGGCCTGAGCTACAACCTGACCAAGTCTGAGTTGAATATGCCTTGATTTTATTTACAGCCACTTTAACGTTGGAAATTGATGAAACCAAAGAGAAAAGAAGAAAAAAAATTACAAAAAGTAAACTAAGAAAAATATGATTGAAGTATTGTCTCCTTCCTACTGATGCATTTTTTTTTACAGTGTGTTATGTATTATTTAACACATAATTTTTTCATCAGGCAAGTTAGCCACGTTAGTGTTCTAGGAGCATATGCTTGCCAGTTCTTTATGTTTTCATAAAATGCTGATTGGCTGTTATATTTAAACACATTTTTTCTGCATGCTGGATGTTTTTAAATGAATTGCATAACAGACTCTAACATACAAAATAAAATATATTATTTACTACGTAGGGTTGGGCAAATTCTTCTTGTACGCTAGGGTAACCACAAATCAATGTGATAGCGTGTTCCAAAATGCAGGCCATGCATTGAGATGAATTTTACATAGGTAACTGCAGTCTTAGATGTAATTTTTTGTTACACTTTAAGTGTACACCTACTAAAGAATAGATTTTTCTGGTCTACTGTTAGCACCAGGCATTATGGCAGAGGTGTTAACATATTGCATACCAGTCTGTCAAAGCTGGGAGTGTCATCTGGGCAGCATGAGGGACGTTTGGAAATGGCAAGAATCTCATCTAATTGCTAAATGGCAGTCTCTAATTCCTTTGGGGATCTCCTACTGAACAGTTTCCACACATTCAGGGGGAATTAGCAACTAGCTAGCTCTGTTCTCCCAGGGAAAGTCCTTATGTCACAAGGCTGCTTGTAGCATATTCAGGAAGTAAGTTTAAAAAGAAATATCACAAGGAGAACGGAAATGGGTATCAGAAGAACTACAGAATGACGATCTACACATTCCACATCATCCAGACATGGTTCTTTGTTTCAGAAATTTTCTGGGTAAAGAGACAAGTTCTATTTAATCAGGAGACGCCATCTCATTATGGTTAATACTCTTGCTCTGGTACTGCCAGATTTCCAGAAAAACAGAAGTGGCTTATGCTAAATCCAATATAATGTGCAAATTCAGTTTCCCGGGACTTACTGTTATGGTGGAGGTTGTTCTTGTTGAATGTGGCCCATTTATGTTCCGGAATTTTCACCTCCTTCACCCACTTCCAAAGTTTATATTTTTCTATATTTATAGGACTTACTTTATAGCACAGTTGTCATTTGTATCAAATCTAGAATATATGCTGTCAGCTTTTTGAAAATACTTGGTTTTCCCCTCATTTAGGAGGTATTCTTTTTGCTATGCTGTAGTTATGCTTATTCCTTTCATTATGCTTCTGACAGAAGAATGGTTCCATAGACTAATCAGCTCTGCCGCGTTGTTTGGCCCTTTTATTAGGCAGTTTTCTGATTACAGATATTTATCCAACAAAGGTTCTTTTTCATGAGCTCATACGAAACTTATGACTTCACATATCCTTATTACATTTGCATTCCACTGGATAGTCTGCTGACTTAAATTGCAGTCATAGCCAAACTATTTTTAAAACTGAGAACTTGCCGTTTTTCACCAAATTCTTTATTTATGAGCTTTTGTTTGAATATGTCATAGGTACAAAACTTTCCTCCCAGAGGATAATTACTGTTGAATCTTCTTAATGCAGAAGATGCATGGCCAGTTCCAAAAGCAGTACCATTTAAATGTACTATTATATAACAACTCTAAAACAAAGATTAAATGTGAGAAATTTTGTGTTAAATACAATTTATGTGTATAAGGTTTGGTGTTTAAACACTGTTATAAAGTTCTATTAATTAATGACCTTTTTTTTTTTTTTTTGTGTGTGTGTGTGTGATTGCAGTACAGTTCAGATTGTTCAAAGTTGCTTATTTGCAGACTTTCTATCCTTTGGTGTTCATAAACTGAGCGTCCTGAATCACCCGTGTACTCTGTGTTCTCTGCAGAGCAGCACTATTTTCATATCTAAGACAAAATAATCTGACCATGCTCTCTGATTTAAAAAAGCATACTTTAAAGCCACATATCCTCTTTTCCAAATGACCACAAGTTGTAAAATACGAATGATCATCCCAGTGTTAACATCCAATTTCTTTTAAAGCAGCAGTTCTAGAATCTGTGTCAGTGGACAGGACTATTCCTGAAAGCACCTCAGCAGTGGATACTACAGAACTTTCCCCATGTAGATCCCCTTCAACTCCACGTCATCTCCGCTATCGTCAATCAGGAGGTATGAAACTAAACTTCTGTTCTAACTTTAAAGAGTTTAAATACTGTAGCTGTAATCTTTGCAGAATACTAGAAAATAACAGTCTTTGATTATTGTGTTTTATTTGTATTTTCCTTATTTTTCAGGTATAAAAATAAAAGCATTAAAATGTGAATTATGGCAGTCAATACAGTTACAACAAGAGACTTGGAAGCATATTGGATTTCTGTGTATGATGAAATGTTCTTTAACAGATTGAACAGGATGTACTAATACTGAATCAGTCTTAGTCTCACAAAATTCTCAAGACCTTCACAGATTTTTTCAGCTACTAAGGGGACATATTTTGGACATCATATGTAATCATGAAATACACAATACCCATTATTGTCAATGGGGAATGACTATGTCTGTTTCCTTGTATGAAACTGAAAATTTACAGATGGTGTCGCATTATTCATTCCAAAATTTGAATAAACTGCTCAGCTGAAGAGGAAGAGTGAGAGCTAGAGCTGCTCAAATAGCTCTCACATGGCTCTTCAAAATTCTTAACAGAGCAGTGAGCGATGCCCATTAATACTTAAAATGCTGTCATCTCACACAAGCCAGATTTCAAGGCAGTTGTTTGATGCCTGGGATTATAAAAACAAAAACAGAACAGATTCTTCTCAACTGTTAAGTTACTGAGACACTTCAATATTAAACCAACCGTAATCTTTTGTTAATGGGTATGGTTACAGTGGGATGGCAAGATTTTGGAGCTGGAAATTGGGAGGAACAGTACTGTATTATCCAAGTATTGGTCAGAATCAACATTCACAGAACTCCTTATACAGAAATTTTGAGAAATTTTGCAGAACTGTACTTATTTTAAGCAGTGATCTCGAAAATCTGTAAATCTCACCATGATTGGTTAAGATGCTTTGTCCTTTAACATCTTTTTTTTTTGTTACAGTTGATCCTCTGTACCATTGTTTCTCTTATTCCTCATCCCTGGCTATATATATATATATATATATATATATTTTTTTTTTTTCCCCATAGTGACGTCATTTATAAAAACCTGGAAATAAAATTCAAATCACAAATGTCATTATGTCATTGTAATATTTTTATTTCCTTTCATGTAAAATCCTGTGACAGTGACAAAAGAAAATGTTCACAACATATAAACTTCAGTGAAGAATTCAAATATTACTGTCACCCAACCTGGAAAAATTAAAAGCTTGTAGTAGCTGTTAACCTTTCTCTGTCTGTTTGCTTTACAGTACAAACTGCTGACAACAGTCACTGTGCCGTTTCTCCTGCTTCTGCTTTTGCTATTGCCACAGCTGCAGCAGGGCATGGGAGTCCACCAGGTGAGAAAAATTTACTGTAACAAAGAGAGATAATAATAACATACCTGGGTCTCAGAAGGTAAACATTTCTTAGGAAAGTATTTGCCTGAATCCCAGATAGCTTTTGTTATTATTTATTACTTTAATCTGCTTGGTGTCTTATCTTGGCTGGAGCCTTGGATTCAAATTATGAGGCCAATATGAAATATTTATAATGTGTATCTCATTCAATATAAAGGTTTTTCTTAAAACTTTTTGAAATTATGATAAACTGACGTAAAGGTAAAAAATACTATATTACAGTAATTAATAAAAACAGTATTTAACCCTGTAAGTATTTATAGGAGAAATTCAAACACTGGTTTTATATCACAAACGCAATGTGGAATGTAGAATTATGATTGTATGATTGCATTGACTTGAATACGCAGTTCAGTTACATTCAAAAAATGACATTAAGAATGAATGAAAGTAAGGAAATCCATTCACCAAATTCTCATTTGAAAAATAATAATTATGTTGCCAAAGTCCTTATGTATTACAACCTTCTGCTTAACAAACAAACAAACCAAAAATCCAGATTTAATAGAAAGTCTATGTTTACTGCAAATCAAAAGGTCACTGAGAAATTGACTCATAAAAGTGACTAACAGGATAAACAACTTAGGGTGTTCTGGTACATCTGCTCTGTTGCATTTCAGGCCGCAGCAATCTGAAAATTTTGTCCCATGAAGCAATTTTTGTCACCAGATAATAAAATAATATTTTAACTGTTTCTCTACCACTCTGCTCTGGGGAATAGTCAGTAACTTTCATTATATCTACATTAAAGAAGGAAAGGTTTTAGAATAAACATGAATTTTAACAAGTGAGGTCTTCATACTGTACGACATACTTTCAAGAAACTGTTGTGGGCTTTGCGCCTATGTTTTATGGACTCTAAGTTTACCAAACTGTTCAGCACGATTTTGGATGGTCACTATATAAACCAATCATAGACTTACATCAGAATCATATTTATTTTGTTTAATGTTCTATCTCTCACATTTATCCACTATGCCTAACACTGTGGGCATTTGCTTCATGAATGAGTACGCATCATGCTAAAATAATTTTTGGACAGGAATGGATGAGTGTTCCTTGTATACTTTCTTTGATTTTGGGGTGACTACAAGAGTTACATTCAGTTTTAAGAACTATACAAACCTCACACAAACAGGTAGTCGATACTTTTTTTTTTTTTTTTTTTTTTTTTCTGAAGTGATTAGTATCTTCTGACTTCAGAATCTGTCATTACCAAGGAATCAGTAACACATTTTGCTTTATGAATATATAAGAATATATTTACAAATTGTTCACAAAATACAGTAAACGTAAAAAAAAGTTTTCCACTAGGACCAACACAATTAACAATTACAGCTTTTGTATTTTAAAAGCACTTCTTCTCAATTCTTTTCACCTAAGTATGAGGATAAATAAAATCTACAAGTATGCAATTGAATGAATTTCAAAGCACTGAAAAGGGATAGTAATGGCTCTAATATTCTTATAATTACTTTTTTTGTATTGCTTTTCATGCTGGTTCTTCATAAAAGGTCTATTTACATCTGCTGGCTAATGTAAAAAACAAAAAGATTTGTCATTCAGATGGACATGATCCTTCAGTGAGTCAGGTCTCAGTAGTGAATGAGTTCTATGTTTTATGGTTTTTTTTTTTCTTTTTTTTTTTTTTTCCCCCAGTTGGTTCTTGTCCTCTTTGCTGCAGATACTGTAAAGTGTGCTGTTTAATATTGTCCTACATGGAACATAAATAAAATGGAATTCAATGCTGATAAATACTAAGTAATTGCACACGAGAAAAAAGTGTTACAAGTGAAAAGATAGGCTTTGTGCTCAGCATTATTGTTCAGGTTTGAGATCTGAGGATTATAACAGGTAGTCCTATTAAACCATCCTACTGCTCAGCAGCAGGTAAGAAGGTGAATGAAACATCAGGAATGGTTAAGAAAGAAGCAGAGAACAGGGCAGGGAAGACCACTATATTATCACTATATAAATTCAAAATTTGAATGTGTAGACTCATAGAATCATAGAGTAGTTTGGATTGGAAGGGACCTTAAAGATCATCTAATTCCAACCCTCCCCACCATGTGCAGGGACTCCTCCCACTAGACCAGGTTGCTCTAAGACCATCCAACCTGGCCTTGATGTATATTGAATACTATGTACAGTAGTGATACATCATCTTTGAGATGAGGGAAGGAGAACTAGAGAAGGTTCAGAGATTGCCATCAAAGATGACTGGAATTGTAAAATGGCTTCTGTGCATATGAAGTTCAGAAAAGAGATGACTTGAAGGACTGATGAGAAAATTCTGTAAAGTCATGGATTCCACAGGGAGTGTTAATAGGCATTTGTTGCCATTTCTGATGCCAGAGGTAGGAGGCATCCAGTGAATTTCATGAGGCCAAGGTTCAAAATAAACGTCTCTGGTTCTTTGTGCAATGAATAGAAGTCCTGTGAGATTCTATTGAAGTACATTGTGAATGTGAGAGATTTACCGAGGTTCAAAAGCTGGACAGCTGTGTACAAGTGAGAGTCACTGGGAGTTACTAGACAGGCAAACTAAAACAGCTTCAGGAGCTGAAGACAGTTGGAGCTTGTGGAAAAATATTAGGAAGTTAGAATCATCTGTGCGTCTTATATGCTCACTGTTCACTGAAGTCTGTCTCTGGCTAGTTTGGTTTGATTTCCCAGGACAAGACCTCAGCTTTTCTCTTCTTTCCATCTTCCAGTTTTAACTGTTCAGAGATGTGTCAAAGCAAGTACATTAACAGACACATCAGAAAGTCCCACAGTCATGCACTCTACCAGAGCCAGGCATGAGGAATATTTAATCATCCCCTGGGAAGAGTGCTGGCCATAATATTTTATAACTAGTGTCACCATGCGGTGGTTAAGCTTGTATGTTGGTAAGTATGCAAAGCTCTGAACAGCTCTCCCAGGTCATATGATAGCTCGGCTTTTCTTTAGATAAGAAACTGGGGGAAGGCTGCCTATGTTGCTCCTGTCTGCAGGCTGCAGCCAGCAAGTGGGCTGGATGGAAAGCCAAAGGTGAAGGTCATTTGAGTACTTTGGCTGCTGCAGGTCTCATTGTACCTCCCCCTTTGGATGGAGTCTGAATGCAGTGCATGTTGACAGAGTTCTCAGTGTGCTCCGTCCACACTGTGGGGATCAATGCTGTGCTTCAGGGGCTTTGATAGTGTTGTCAGGGTACCCTCATCTCTTGGGTTCATTTGTTATCTGGGTGCAGGAGATGCACAAATAGGGCTATCAGGGCCCAGACGATAGCCCTAGCTTGCCCCACCACAAGATAGGCTGCACTAGTTTATGAGCTGCTGAAAAGGAAGCAGTGGGCACCACTGCATTGCTGTACAGCATGCAGAGCTTCCTGCAGATAAGGAATTGATCACTGAACCAGAATGACTCAAGTTGTTATGCCCTTCAGCATTTCTTTATAACATACTGATTTTGATGCCATTAATTATAGTTATTGTACAGGTAGCTGCATTTATGATGGCAAGTTGTACTTCTTGTCCTATAGTTTTAGTCCATCTGTTTAGTTTAATATTAATCTCTACGTATCTTACTCATGTTTTTGGCTACACCCTTCCAGAAAATTAGCATATAACTTGTTTATTTTAGCAACATGATAAAGGTAAATAGAAATACAAAGTGAAAGTAGAAGTTGTTAAATTAAGCACCACACGTAGACAGCTTGGTGCCTGCATGAATGATAATATGCACAGTAGGGACAACACAGCTTGTTGTGTCCTTTATATGTCCTTTCTCTTTTGAACTATGTGAACAATGGCTGGACAGTTCATACGTTGCTGCAGTTGTAGTGCTCTGTCACCATTAATAGGCTGCTCCGTATCTTCATTCTTCTTCACAATTCATAAAAATAGGGTAATATAGTAACATCTTCTACCATAGAAACAGGCAAGCCAAAGTCACTTTATTCTCTAATCTTAACAGCTTTATTTCATTGCAGGAAAGGTCATTCTTTAGGGAAGAGGACTCTTCTAAAAGTTATGCAAACACACTTCTCTAGAACAGTGTAAGACAGTGAGTTTTTCTGACTAGATGTAAACTAGTATAAATTCAAGTTGTTGTAGGGACATGTATTCTTTATTTATTCTGAACTACCATCCCCATTTCCTCAAACTCTCTTTCCTTTCTCCTGAGCACTTCTATTCAGCCACATGCTTCTCAAAGTGGTGGATAAACCCTGAGCAATCAAGAACATAAACCTGCTTAGGGACGTTAGCTATCTGAGCTGTGTCCTCATGCCTCTAGAAAAGTGTTTCTTGATTTTTGGTTGAATCAGAGACAGCTACAATAAGCAACACAAAGGTACCTAGCAGCTCTGTTCTGATGTCTGCCTTCTTCTTTTCTGTAGAGAAAAGTTCCTACAAAAAATTAATTTCAACCATCTCAGCCTAACGAATGTCCTGTTAATCTCTTCAATCATTTGTAGTTTAACAGTAAAAAGTTGTCGCAGAATATTACAAGAATTAATTGATAACAGTATAATCTATACAGCACCCACAGCATAGCACTATATAAAAAACAATGTATTATATGAAATATAATAAAGTTATTTCTTTCATTCATTGATTGTAGAACTTGTGAATTTGCCTGGTATATATTTTCATAATCCCTTCAAACATGTTATTGCTTCTTTTTCTCCTTATCTTTTATTTTTCTCAGTTTTGCACAGAATCAGAACACAATCTCAAGATCTGTGAGAGTATCATGCACTTATTTTTAAAGAAAGATAATATTTTATTGAACCTGCTTGCTTTGCATGCAGGTCATCATACATGTTAATATTCATAAACTATGAAAGTGTTCTGTGTGACTATAAGAGATTATAATTTCACTTCAAATCTTGAGCAGTGGTACGGATGAAGACAAATTAGGGAAATAATGCTGTACTGTTTTTGTAGAATCATGTT